ATGCATGCTTGAGCAAATCAATCTTACGAATACAGATAAAACAAAACGCAGTAAGTGTTCTCGTAAAAATAGTTTTTCGCTATATAGTGCTGTTTCTTGACTTTTTTTAACAACGATGAATATGTTTCAATTTCACTACTTTTCAGTATAAGTTTAATTGACTTATGGTAAATAATCTAATTTGTCATTGTAACTTTTAATCTTAATATCTTTGTCTTGTTGTAGTTGAGGTCTATTTAATGATGATTGATATTGTCTAATTACCGTCTCCATGTCGATTTTACAAGTACAGTTCAACGTAGGTGTAAACATTATGCATGTGAATAAAAGGCGATGTAATTAAATCAACCTAGTAACAAAACTTATCCTCAATAAATATTTTGAGGTCGCTATTAAACCTTAACAATGGACAAGCAATGGATCCTTTTTCAAACTCTAAATCGCTTAGAGTCTAGACAAGTTTAGAATTGTTTAGAGTCGATTCAATGTGTTTCGCTTTTCAATTCATACATGAAAAGATCCAAACCACCTGAACTCTGTCCGCGGTGATATTAGCTTATCTTATTCATTTACCCTTTCCTGTTATTTCCATACGAGGACAACAAAATAAATGTTTAAATCGACAATAAAAGGTAGTAAAAGTGATAAAATTGCTTAATTCAATTATATCAATTCTAAAGCGGACTAAAAACAATCCATATGATATAAATAAGTATTTAATATTCTCATTTACAGCCAGCAAGATCAATATACTTTATCGATTAATACTGAAATTTCATCTTTTGAGCCTTAGCGGCAACTGCACCTCTAAATACCTGCTCGTGAAAAATTACGTTCGACTTCGATCTTAATTGACAAATATTTTCTCTACGTTCTCCGGCTGTCTCCACCAATTAATACCGGAGGCAATGATATAACCGAATGTATTGAATGTGGCGTTAAACACCAACTATCAATCATCCAATATTAATATTATGTGTTTTATCAATGTCATCAACAGATGTTAATAAAAGATATCATCATTACCAATGATAAATAGTATTGGCATGAAAACCGAAATCATAACATTATTATCTTGTTTAACGTGTATAAAAAAATACTGCATATTAATCAAACATTACCATTTAATAATACTATATAGAATCTTTGTCGAAAAATTGCATTAGTCATACAGAAAGATCTACGGGCAAATCTTAAAACTGTTCGCGCTTTATTTGTTCTATTTACTACCTACTAAATGCGAACTGGTTGAACTATAGCTTATAGGTATGTACTCCAGTGTAACATAATCAATTCAACCACAGAAAGGGTTGTGTACTGATTTCTTAATGTAAATCAATTGTTGTAAATTAAGAAAGCCTTTTTCTGTAGTAAATTTCGTCATGTTCAATGGGTTTAGGCAACTGCATAAGGATCGTATTCCTTACTGACGTTGTATACAAGGTCTGTCGTGCTGTGACGTCTAAAAAGTAAAATAAATTGTAACAAAAATACCGAACTCCAAGGAAAATTCAAAACGGAAAGTCCCTTATCAAATGGCAAAATCAAAAGCTCAAACACATAAAACGAATGGAAAACAATTGTCATATTCCTGACTTGGTACAGGCATTTCCTTATGTAGAAAATGGTGAATTAAACCTGGTTTTATAGCTAGCTTAACCTCTCACTTGTATGACAGTTGCATAAAATTCCGTTTTATTGACAACAATGTGTGAACAAAATAAACAGACATAATAGGCAAAAATGTCAAAAACTAGGGTAAAGCAGTCAATATTGTATCATAATCTTTATCACTAAAATCTTAAAAAACAAACAAAAATGGCAACAAAGAAAAACAAAGCACATAAGCAAAAAAAGAAAGATAAGAATACAAAAAAAAAAAGATCATAGCACAATAACACAATAGTGGGATGTATAAGTAGTTAGGTACCGATCCACGCCAAAAGAATATTACCAAAAATGGACTAAAGAGTTCCCAGCAGGATACATTAGGTATATAGTAAATTGTAGGTTATTTAAGGAAATTTATGTGGTCAATAATATAATAACAGTATTAAACGATGTGGCAGCTTAGCCCAAATAATCTGTTTTTTTAATGACTTCAACAGTTAATTGCATTATTACATAAACACTGATTTCTGATCCCACATATCGACAAATGACAAATGACAAATGACATACTAGTAATTACCGGCTTTAGTGTGTCCTGATTTTGATATTTGTTTCTGAATATGGTAAGTATAGTATGACTGGTGATAAAAGCATAGCTATAATGCTTACCTTGTCAACATGCTTCGTCTCAGAACTCGAAATGTAGACAAAATGTATCACTTACATCATACTACTATACCGTCTTGTTTTGTTTGAAAGTTAATTTCGAACCATTCACTGATATTTGCGGTCAATTAAATCTATTCGTATATAAATAAGAAGATGTGGTACGATTAACAAAAAGACAACTATCCAACAGAGACAAAATTACGTAGATATTAGCAACTATAGGTTACCGTTACCTTGAGGTCTTCACCAATGAGCAAATCCCATATCGCAAAGCAAGCTATAATGGCCACAACATGGCAAAATGTAAAACAATTCAAACTAGAAAACCGACGGCCTGATTATTGCACAAAACAATATACTAAGTCACATTTGATATGCAGCAACAGACGACAACCATTGAATTACATGTTCCTGGCTTTGGACAGACACATACAGAATGTGAGGGGGTTAAACATGTTAGCATGTGCCCAAACCTCCTAACCTGGGACTGGTGTGTAACAGTACAGCATAGGAAGAAACTGTTGAAATCAGTTAAAAAGGTATTGGTTCATCGGTTCATGCTTAAAACGCGTATACTTACAAACATGGTGTGTGAGATCTCAACTCTCCCCTATACCTTAACCAATGTTGAATAAACAAACACACATCAATACGCTCAGTAAAACTCATTTTAAAAGAAGTAAGATGTTAGACAGTTAACAGAAGAAACTAAGTAAAATGACAATGTTCAACATAAATTAACAAAGGAGTTAGCAGTTACTGAAATGCAAGCTCAAGACCGCAATTAAACTGACCGAAAATATACGGAATCTCCATATCGAACAAGAATGTTATCTGGTATAAATTCAAGTGCAGTTACCCGGTATCATATCACATCAGGTCCAATTGACATAGTTATTTTGTTTGTCGTTACTAACGAATAACATAAAGGAGATTGAACATATATATCCACATTCTGACTTTTTAAATACCCATTCATGAGGCAAGTGGTATATAGGTTAGAAAAATCAAAACTTGGAACAGATTCGAAAGCACCAATACGAGCATGCAATGTATCAAGTACTTCCAACAAATTCTTGACAATGTAAAAGTCATTAGTTCCATTATTGTCGTAGACCTAATTCATTACCAGGTTTTTCGTTGTACCAAGTGCACTAGTAAGTAGAATGGACAGTTTAGTAGTGGAACAATGGCTTTAAGGTGGTACCAAACACTACAGGGAGATAACTCTGTAAAAATCAGCTAAACGTTTTAATCACGTTGTATTGTTAAGGAAATATTAAGCTTCTCAATGATCAAAATTAGTGTTTGTCAAACTGCTATATAACCAATGAAATTTTTCTGATAAAGTGGTTGGTTCAAATTTTTGTCAAAGGGTCAAAGTAAACATTTTGTCAAAATTTTAGGAAAATTAAACGAGCCAAATTAATATTAGTCAAGGTGTTGGGTACCACCTTAAGACGAAATAAATCTTGTATTTATAAGGTGTTTTGTGCAGCTTTGTAAGCAAGTACACAGTTGGAACTTTCATGGTATTCGGGTCTGTTTGTATAGAGGTTGCAAAACGTTTATGTTTGTTAACTATGTCATTTCCGAAAATTGAGTCAGTTGGAATGTTGGTGAATTTTCTTTAGCAGAACCTCAATACAAAATTTACGTCAAACATATACAATAAGGAAAGTATGGGCAGCCTTACCAGCATGAATAAAAACAAAAGTTCTTTTAGATTATGTTTAATACGAGAAATAGGAATATTATAGTTGTTGTTAGGAGTAAAATGTTCATAAAAATGTTTCAAACGAGTACCAATATATCATTACTGATTTGAAAAAAGAATCTAAGGAGTTTTTATCAGCTTTTTCTCGTTTTATCCATTTATACAGTAAGTATTATGTGAGTCGTGGATAATGTTACGAAAGTCATTCCACTTAATAATAGGCGGAGCGATATTTAGGTCCTTTTGTACGACATTACTTCAACTTCAACGATGTTAAGTTCATCTGTTATAACATGGGAACTGGGGTCATAAATGTATTTTGAAATATTGCAATTTCATGACGTAGAAATATTTTTACTGATATCAACATCTTTGCACCCCTTGCTATAATTAAAAACATATTTCCGGGTAGATTTTTTGTAAACAAATAAGAGGGGGCGCAGTAATGTATAATTAAATGGATCATGTCAGTGTTGAAATTATGTACAATTATGTCTAGATGAATTGTATTGAAAACTCACCACACTATTCTCTCTCACTCTCTTTCTCTCTCTATTTCTCTCTCTCTCTCCGGTGTTGAGACTGCTTTACTCTTTATCTTATATTTGTATATTGGGGAAAAAAAATTGCTTCCTAATAAAAAGATGTATTTGATTAGATAATATCAATAGATTTATATATTATATATTGTTATTATTTGTGTATATTATGTGGTAAATTGAAAGTTATAAATAATAAAAATTAAAAAAAAGAAATTATGTACAATTTTATATCTTATTAGATTACATATCAATTGATAATCGAAACAAACAATTTAAAGTTATAGTTTCAGTTTTAAGATCAACATGTAGAAAACATCATTTACTGATCATAGTCAGTACGACACATCGTAAGAATTATTACAGTTTGACTGATGATCATATGTATAAAGGTGACACTTTTTAAAAGATATGTTTTATATTTTAAATTTTGTGATTTATTCTGTAAAGCATTAGCATAAACTTTCACTGATCGCCATGTTCATTTCGTAACTTTCGACACATTGTAGTAGTCACATTAGTGACTAGACAATGTACTCCATTGTTATATTCCTTCTTGGATGTTTAGTTACATTTCATCCAGTACTACTAGTAACGTCAGAGTGTAAGTATGTATGTATAAGTGTTCTTTATTACGTTTCTTGCTGTCGGACAACTTGCTAATTTTACAAGTTTAAAAGATTTCAACTGATTCATTAGTTTGATTGATTGATTGATTGACTGATTGGCGTTCAACTCAACTTTGATTGGCGTTCAACGCAACTTTCAGCACTATTGCGCTATTTGGAGGCGGACAGTTTTTATTGGTGGAGGCAGCATCTGATAATGGACGTCCGTAAACTAGTGTTGCTTAAATTTATGGAACGAACGTGTCTGATGATGGTCGTCCCTGATACACGTGCAATGATTTGCGCGCTGGTGGTATTATTGTTAATTTATATTCATTAAAATACGTTTGATATCTAAACAAATATGGTGTCATGATATAGAGTGCATGCCATTTAAATTTAAACATTTGTAAACTCAAAACGATACTAGTATTTGTATTTGACTTTTTCAATTCAACATGTTCCATCTTATAATTCTTTATTTTCAATTGTCATTTTTTTCCTGTTCTTTAATTGCAGTTGTGTACAAGTGCACTTGCAAGGAGTCTTGTAGTGAAACTGAAATAAACTCAACAATCACATGTGGACAATATGTTTGGTGTTGTAACAAAACGCTAGAAGGGTCAACAGATGGCGGTAAAGAAGGGTCAAATGATGGCGGTAAAAGCAATGAAACAGTTAGACAAGATGAAAACAAAGACAATCATTCTGATTTGTCAAATGAAGATGGTATTGATCTTTCTAACGATACAAGTAGGAAAGAACAGGGAGATTCAGACATTGACAGTCAAAGGGATCGAAACAATAACAATAGTGTAGATCATGACAAAACAATTCATCGTCACAAAACGGTAGGGAATTTTGAGAGACCTGTCGCAAGTAAAGGTTCAGTCTTTAGAAATGAGATTCAATATATTATATATCCTACACAGAATTATCCGAAAGAGAAACGATTGGTTGGCTATTCAGATAAGCTGTATAGTGGGGCAAAACCATTCCGATTGTTTGTTGACAGACATAAACATCATTCTCATGATTCTAAACAATGGTTTCGAAAAGACCATTTTAAACATAAATCAGTCGGTTCAAATCAAAATTCATTAAAAAACGAAGACAGGTATCGACTATCTCAGCGTGATCAGGAAATATTCCTTGGAGACATGCATCATCCGATTGTGACTGGAGAATATCGAGATGCACTAGCCTGGAATTTAATGCGAAGTGAAATAAGAAGATCTCGCGAGCCTTCATACAGACACCCTTTCGAAAACGGATATGGTGTTACGTTGGATTCTAGAAACGAAAATATAAACTTTTACTTTGGTAATGAAAATAGAAAAAGATCAAAAGATATATCACTGATTGATTTCTTAGATCATCAGATAACACTGCCACCTCAAATACATGTTCCGACTACAAAGGTCGACAACAAGGACATGTTCAGCAACAGAGATAATCATATTCCACTATTTATACACAAAAAAAGTATATGGACTGACTTTTTCAGAGATCTAAAACTGAAACGGAAACGGGAAAAAGAAATTAAAGAACGTTACAGACAGTCATCTCTGCGTGAACTGTTTCCCCTACAACAGTCATCATCTGTCAGTATGGATAATAACATGTTTCCATTTAACCAAGTTCGATCCATGAATCCGTGGATGAAATCTAAAATAATTCCGAAATTTCAAAGACAATACATTCATTCTCCACGTGAATTTGGTATGAAACTATGACATTTCGCATAATGGAACAAGGAAAAAATTTCGCGGAAGAGTTTTGCAATTACAAAATACTGCTCTTCCTGATAATTCGGTTCCCGCTTTCAACAGATATATGGTGCAAACCAAATTTATATGAGGTGGCAAAAATTACCAAACGCTAGATTAACAAACATTTTGGTGTATATATTTTTGACCGAAACCGACGTCCAGTCTCTATTCGACGTCCGTTCCTCATTTCGACGTCCAATATAAGGCCACATTCTCAAACCTCTGATCGACGTCCAATGTGATGTCATGTATTACCAGAACAATGTTCAATAGGTTGGAGTCTCGTAAAATTCCTTTTGACAAAACAATGCTGTTAATTGCTACTTTGGAGATGAGTTCCTTACTTCTATGCGAAGAGAAAATTTGGTACATATCGCAAAACAAACAAGTGTTTTTTGCAGTGCTTATACTGATTTTGTGTCATGGATGGATACCCCATATCCTTTCTTTTCTATAAAGGACAACAACGGGCATACAAACGAAAGTCAATTATTTATACGTGGCTGTACAGTTCATTCTTGATCTTAGGCATAAAATTGATTTGTCTTGAATCTCTATAATTCTATGTTTTGCCATTGCAACCTTTGATATTATTCAACATCCTTATTCGTCATATAAATACATTTCTATGAAATGTTTCTATCGACGATCCGTAACACCTGCATATAGTCATCATATCTGTGTGAAGATCACAATCTATGTCTTGAATCAAACGAAATTCTACGTATTCGGCAGTCGTACCTGGTAGTCTACATATATTAAGACATGTTGTGTACATTTTTTTCATTATAATTTTATATGGTTTAATCTGTGAGTTTTAGCTCTAGTTTTCGGACAATGCATTAGTAAACAGGTTAACTAATCCGGCACAAAAGGTCAAGTACAAAATGATTAAAAATAAATATGGGAAAATGTGCTCAATTTCGGAAAGCAAGTTGATGTTCCGTACACACGTGATTTATACCATGTAATTCTATACTATATATATATACACTGTATTTAAAAGAATGTAGATGTTATCACTTATACTAATTGATTACTTTTTAGTGAGCTTTTTTCTTTGAAATTCAGTAACTAATAACAGGGATACTCGGACTAACGCTGTAATCCGAGTAAATTGTAACAGCAGAAGAAATTCCAGCAAGATTAGAATATCAAAATTCTCAAAGCAAAAAATGATAATGACACTTGAATTGCAATGAATAAATGGTGTTTGTTTGGGGGAAAAATAAAATTAAAAAAAAACAATTTTATATGTTTGTGCTGGAAATGGAAAAATCAAAAAAGGAAACTCTTACAAATACACTACTGTTTACTTTAAATAGTTCCGCATGTTTCTTATTAAAGGGAAAAGATTATCTAAACATACCGACAAAAAGTATTGCCATAATAAACTGAACTTAAAACTTATTTATTAGGTTATTATCATTTATTGAGGCTCTAGATACCAAAGTAACCATAAAGATTCGTAAGTCGAAGAGAAAATAACAACGTCATGGTAAACAAAACGAAACCAACGAAATTCAACAAGTCTACAACACGTCTTTCAATCCATAAAGACATAGCAACAAGAACCCCATAACAATCGGGAGAGATTTCAGGTATGTGCTTCGGACGGGGTAGTCGGTCCATATCCACATGTGGCACACGTCGTGTCGTGTTGCTCAAGGTACGTAAATATTCGGGAATGTCACAATATAGTAAAGGAAGGTGTGATTGCGGCTACGACAATTGGAACATATTCCTACTCATGTGTGACACAGATGTTCTATAACGGTCAACCGAATCATTATCGCATCCGTTAAACTTTTGAAAGGCTTTTTCGACTTCATCACTAAGAACCCTTCTTTTAATAGCTTCTTCTATAAAAGTGCAGTATAAATGTAGTCAATAGATATTTTAAAACGTTTAAATTAATAATTCTTTATATTAATTATTGTTCATCTGTTCTTGATTATGATAAAAAAAAAATACAGAAGTACAGGATACCAAGAGGGCAATAACAATAAACACGTCGAAAAAAAACTCAGACAACAACATGATCAAAAGAAAAACGACGAAAAGTCCGACAACATTATCAAATTGAACAACATTTACCCAAACAAAATCCTGGTGTAAACTCGATTCTGGTTAACCGCAGTGCTCCGGTATTGTGACAGTTGTGAACCCGTCGTGTTATATACTCCAGTAAAATTCTTTATTGGGCCATGTCCAGTGATTATGCATTACACAATAGCAGATTGGTAAACGGTTTTCGTCTAACCAAAAGACATTAAACAAGAATGTGTCCATAGTACGCGGATGCCCCACTCGCACTATCATTTTCTATGTTCAGTGGACCGTGATTGGGGTCAAAACTCTAATTTGGCATTAAAATTAGAAAGATCATATCATAGGGAAAATGTGTACTAAGTTTCAAGTTGATTAGACTTCAACTTCATCAAAAACTACCTTGACGAAAAACTTTAACATGAAGCGGGACAGACGGACGGACAAACGGGCGGACAAACGGACGGACGGACGAACGAACGAACGAACGACATAATGCCCCTCTACTATCGTAGGTGGGGCATAAAAATTCAAAACCTATCGTTTATTTCATTTTCGCATATCAGCATTCCTTTTCCGAAAAACTTATTATATTTATTTTCGCGAATATACAGCCTTCTTTTCTGTAAATACTTTCGATAGTTTTGATATGATATAACAATTGCTTTTATACGTTTCCGCAAAATGCTTGCCTCCTCTGCAAGCCAGGTAAACGTTGTATTGTACATGAATTGAAAAAAGAACTAAAGTACATTTAGTCTTATAAATATTAGCAATTCAATTATTGATAAAGAATACTCTTAAGACTAAGGCGTTTCATTTCCCACAAATTACAATGAACTTACACAAATATACACATGATTACATCCCTACCCTAAGTTCTTTGGAGGATGACTATAAACCACATCTCCTTATTCTATATTTTCTTGATTCCCCGAAGGATCAGAAAACCATTATATTAGATCATACGATGTATAATATGTATATCATTTTAACTAAAAGAAAATGATAGCTAGAGCACAAACCAGGTAAATTGCTGAAAAGTATTGTAATACTGTTTTGTTTTTTGCGGATACTCAATATTTTTTGGGGGCGGAAAAGTGAAACTGCAAGATGGCGACTTATCATATGTGGAAATATAATACTTTCTGGTAATTTAAAGAATTTGCATGCAACCAAAATAGGAAATAACTTCAAACTTTTAAATAAAACACACGCGGACATCGATACAAAAGTTAGATATAATTTCATATTAGAATGCATGCATATATCAAGAAGCTATGACTTGGAGTTGCCGAGAAAAGTGTTACGGACAGACGGAAGTAGGGACATACGCAAACGTATACCACCATAGGCATAATTATTATGATTTACCATTATTTCATTGATAAAGGTTCAATTTAGAAGTAATCTGTGAACATCAAAAAGGTTAAATTATAATAATATAACATTGATAACAAATAAATTAATAAATCAATCAAAAACGACAAAATAAAATATTACAAATTAATACATAAATTATTTTTAATAATTACCGTATAACAAAGAAAATTTGAAAATCAAATTGATTATTCGTGTTATTACTGTAACAACGTGTGGGTTTTTCATTCAGTATAATATTTCAAATATATGCAGCTTAATAATTCACAAAAATCATATGTTAAGTTTTATTTATCTTTTGTCAAATTAATTATGTGCATAATTAATTTGTAAACCGATAAGCAATGAATACTACAACCAATGATAAAACAAACACAGCCACGTACGTCCTGTTAATTTGGAATTTAGAATTAGCCATTTTGTCATTTGGAACACTGAGTTCCTCTCCCCATTCGGGTGTCCAGTTAGGTCCATTACTTTTTTCATCCTTAAAATTATATGAATAAACACCACATAGTTCCTTTGCCGTTTTTGATTTTGCAGTTTCACAATGTTCTGTTGGCATGGTGACATCACTCCGACAAAACGATGGGATTTGTGACTTCATCATATTGACCCCTTGACAAGGCCAATGTGTTGTCATCGCGACAGAATTGTAAGCGCCTCTTTTTGTTTCAATGTCTTTTTTAGACGCCCAAATTGCAGGACCCATGCAAGACAGTACAACAAAACGCCATCGCTCAGGATTGTTACGACCTTCAACAGGTCTTACATTTGCATGAATTAATCTTGAGTCCCATAACACCATTCCCCCTTTAGGAGCTGCTACTCTAGCCTGTTTGCAACCTTTTGCTTCAAACCACTCAATATTTTCATCTTTCATGTGATAATATTTGTTCAAACTACTTCTGAAAGCCGCCTTTTTATTTATGTTATAAAACTCACCGATGAATGCGTGTGAACCTTTTAACACATGGAAAGTCCAATCATCTTCATCGGCAGTCTCCAAGTACAGGCCGCCTTGGTACGCATGGAGACCTATTCGCTGTGCATCCTGGTCACAATGCAACCAGTGTTGGCCCGGACGTAAAAAGTCTTCGTCGCTTGTTTCAGGTGGTCGTCCAATAGCAATGGCGTCAATACTTGTCAGAAGTTTTTCTGTGTGCCATAATTCGCTGAAAACTTTCTGTGTTGCCAAGCGAGCTTTCCACGTGGTTTCAAAATTGCCAGTATTGTATCTTTGAAGCAGTGAATGTGCGGTGAATGGCCATTCGTCCTCTTTAAATTGGGATAACCAAACTTTATATTCATCTATCCATTTATCACATTGTTTTTCCGTGACAACATTCTTTATTACAGTGTAGCCCTGGTTCTGTAATTCTTGCCGGTGTCTTTCTTTTACATACATCTGAAATAGACCATTGAATTTGTTTGTGGTTTTACCCTCTTTAAAATAGTTCTGTGGGTTGTGTCGGTGAATATAAAAACAAGAAGACATAGTTTAATTGCAAAGGAGATTACTTTCAACCAGAGACAAAATGACGTATAGTTTAATTACAAAGGAGATTACTTTCAACCAGAGACAAAATGACGTATAGTTTAATTACAAAGGGAGATTACTTTCAACCAGAGACAAAATGACGTATAGTTTAATTACAAGGGAGATAACTTTCAACCAGAGACAAAACGACGTATATTTTAATTACAAGGGAGATAACTTTCAACCAGAGACAAAATGACGTATAAGTAAAGTGTTGCTTTCTTATTGACTTCTTTTATGCATACATGATTTTAACGAGGAAAATAATGTACACAAGATATCAAATTTAAGGCGCGCGGGGGAGGGGGGCGGTGGGAGTAGATAAATGCATAATTAACAAGAATCAATTAAATAATGACGATGTCAGGTTCTCAGGAAAGGTTAGCGGCTCTTTTTACATTGCATTTTTTAACATACGTCCTACTTTTGGATAGAAGAATGGAAGTGCGACTATTGCGAATGATACATATCCGTCACATGCGACAATTGCGCATTACATTTGGAAAATAACGTCGACATGTCTATAATCGATATAATTGGTCATCTGCATGTGTGTTTAGAATTAGGAGCATTGATTTTGTTAGTATTTGTGTTAGTAGCAACCCTCTAAAAAGAAATTTTAAATCAATTTAAAGATAATGACCTTATCACTTTATAAACTTAACATGAATACATCAATCACAATATATTTCTACAAATCTAAGCCTATGCCATGTATTTGCGTTACTAATGAGTAACAAAACCGCTGTTCCGCCATATATGTCCAACATCTTTAGCTCTCAGGCAGTCTCATATTGTAAGGTTTGTGTCAGAAAATATCGACTTTTATTTAAAGCAGAGAAATTAATGAAGGGCAATTTGAAGATTATGTTAGACTTATACTAGTTTTGATTTTCAGAAATTTAAATCAGCCGCCTTGTCTGTGAGGAGGAGTGATTGACATTTTACAAAAATATTACTTCAAGAAACTATTCCAACTACAGTATAATAAAAATATTGTGCGAGTACAAAACCTAGTATATATAGCAAACAAATATTTATGTAAAGAGAATTGAATAATGAAAATGAGTATTCAATATAAAAATATTGGTATAATAATGCATGGATGTGTACACTGAAACATTTGTAACAAATTAAAGCTATGTATAGCCCTCTTCGCTACCTTTTAACGTTAAACCAAACATAGCCATAACACATGATTATTCTTTTAAAATAATCGTTAAAAACTTTCCTTAAGTTTTATTTTCCTGCTTTACAAATGGTTCATTTTATTATTTTTTTTTTCATCTAATCATCAATCTTAGTAAAAATGCTGCTTTATCAACATGAGCAACTTACCTTTTTTTCCTTTCTCAATATTCACAATGCACAGATAATACCCAGTATTGGCATATTTATATACATGTATACCTGGTATCTATTTATAACCAAAATGACGTGGAAGGAATTACCTGTAGTTTTTCTCGCTGGCATTTAGTACAAATAACACTGACGAACTTTCCTTTTATCATGTGATTTGAAAAGATTATATTTCATCGTTGAATTGCTTAAATATATTTATCAGATTAACGTAGAACTTTGCAAAACAGAAAACGTGGGACTGTGCTTGCATATGTGATATCCTTTATTTCAGTTTGAACTTTGATTTTTTGATAAGCTATATTTTGATTAAGTTTTATATTGACAATAATAATTTATACGATTTGTAAATGCAGTCGGGTGGGTTTCCTCCACGGTAAGGCGATATATATTTTAAGAAATCTTTTTTTTTATGTAAGAGTTGTTATATTAATATAGCATCAAGAGTTTAAATGCCTTGCTTGTTTGGTTGCAAACTTTGTTTGGTTGTTTGCTCAGACATTGTAATTAAGATAGACACATAAATTCAATGTGTTTACTATATAAAAAGATTTGATTGGACAATGGATATCATATTTTTCCAGTCAGGCACTTAAAGGGTTTACAGAAAAAAAATAGATAGTTAAATGTGAACCAATTTTGAATTAATAATAATACAATTTTTATAGTAAAGCCCGATTTGATGGGTTGATTGTTTTTATTTGATATGATAATGAAAAGTTTTCTGCACACAATTGTTTTATTGTTAATATTGGAAGATTAAACATGATTATTTATCATCATCAGAGACATATAATTATATATGTCTCTGTCATCATGTTTAATATACATACTTTTATTTGTTTTTATATATTATCAAGACAATTTACACGAATAGGTAAAAGAGATATTACTGCATGAGCATTGATTATTTTGTTTAAGTTATGTGTGCTTTTTTTTAAAGTTATTTTTGCTTTTTTGTAGAATCGAATAAAATGAATTTGAATTGGTCACTGTTTCCCCTTCATCTTTCTACCCATAAAAATGCTACACGCGCCCACCCCCCAAAAAATATAAATTGCTGTCGACTCGGCAAATAATTTTTAAAGTTTTGACTGATTTCAGATTTCTCACTTCTTTTAGGATTGTAATGACGAAACAATGTAGATTTCATTTCTCGCTAAAATATTCAAAGAATTAGATCATCATAAAAATTGAAATGAGATTTGTATGGCACGCCTGGACCACTTTTATTAATTAATCTTAGATTATCTCAGATAAACAAGGATTATCTCAGATAAATTAAGATTATCTCAGCTTAATTCAAATTCGAGAAAATCCTAGTTTATCTCAGAAAATACAGAAAATTCATTATGTGGAGAAAATCCCGGTTTATCTCAAAATATTAAGAAAATCTAGGTTTTTCTGATCGATTTTCAGATAATCCTTATTAATCTCCAGGAAATTAATTTTCTCAATTTCAGATAATGAATTATCGCATTTCTCGAGAAAATCTAGGTTTATCTCGGATTCTAAATATACAAAAGAACAATGTAACGAGTGTTTTAATTGGACGACAATCCGGCGTTTCACTTTTTACTTTCTCTTTGAAACCATATCACTTCCTATTATTGGGTGAACTGGGATGTGCCAAAATATTGGTCATAATTTTGCGAGATTTTATATAAAAATTAGCGTCCTTTTTCAGAGGAGGGGCGACATTCAGCATACGGCACGCAATTTTTACTTATATTATTGATCGATCGCTGTGTTATTGTGTCATATATCACTACTCGTGGTGTGAACATCACCGTTATTGACACCTGGACAAGCGAAATTTGTTGAATCAATTATAAAAACAAGTAATATACAGAAGGGCTGATAAATACAATATACATATACTTTGTACATACATAATAAACAAATTTGGTAGCTATTTCTTTTACACAAACTGACTGTTTATTACCGACGGCTAATTTCGACATCGATAATCATTAAATTCTCATATTTTAATTCATTCAGTCGGTTTTAATTTTTTAATCGTGACAAAGTTTTGTAAAATATTTAATTTTAACTATTGCATTATTTCGTCATTTGTCAGTTAACAAAATAGATAGCACTAAAAAGAAGGCAACTAAGTAATCCAATACACATAATGCACGATTCAATTATGGAAAAAACAATGATTTCATCATGGTTATTCATTAGACATAATTTTCATTTTGTTTTCAAAATAATTAAATACATAAGAGTTTATATGCCACGAACCTTAAAGCGCCAGTTATTAATTGTAGGATATCAACAATAAATGTACATTGTCTGAATACAAAATGTGTGTGAACTCGCTAACACGGGTGTCATTCGGTTTATCGAGAGAAATGATCGTGAAAGAATATCTAACGGAGGTTAAGTATTGCGAGACGATCGTGAAAGCTCTGGTACCGGATCGTGAAAGAAATTTAATCGAGAAGACATGATGAAAAGTCATTAAATAATCTAATTTAATTAATTACACGGACAAATTTACAACAAAATAAAACTGTCTGTCAAAATGGTTGAACATTATGATCAGTATGTAAAAAAATCCAGTTCTAAAAGTACATAGTTTAATTTTCAAAACAACAAAAGGCATATTGCTCCTCGACATTTCAGTGACATCAAAAATGTAAACAAACATGATTTTTTTTCACAAATTCCAATAAAATAAACTACTGTTCTTCGAAAAAGGGCATTCTATTTGAATGCATCAAATGGTTCTCATAGTTATTTTGTATAAACATAATCTGAAACTTGGTAGAAAAAGAAATATTTACACAAAATTGATATTTCGGATCGTGAAAGATCACGTACCGGTTTTTGAAGATCGTGAAAAGGATTGTGAAAGATCTAAAGCTACGAAGACGTTCATATTATTCTTCAATTATATAATTGATATTTGTTATTGGTATTAAAAAAAAACTAGATTGGCATGACTGACCCGGGTCTCTTTTGCTGGTGAATAGGGCTAAAATCATGCAATGCCATTGGAACTTATATCTTAAAATACCACACAGACTAGGTAAATTGTATCAATACCAGTCCATTTGTCCGTCCTTCATAAGTATTGTTTTTTTTTTATACATTAAGATGTTTTATTTTGTATTTATAACTTTGAATTCTCATTTTTATGCCCAATATTATTTATAAAGCTTACATACCTGTATGCTATAGGGCCACGGTATTTGGTGTATGGTGTACATGTCTGTCTGCATATTTCATATATGACGTCAATTGTATTTGATATATTGAATGATAGTAAGATGTCTGTGTCTGACTGTCGGTCAGGGTTCATATACTTTCGACCTCATGTTCCGAATTAATTGGCCAAACATAACTTTTACATTTGTCAGTTTCTAAGGTACTGTAAGCATCGGACTCCTATATTTGGTGTGAGGGATTTTTGTAGAGATCTGTATGTCATGGTTCATCTGACCTTGACCTCTTTTTATGAATCATTGACAATTTTAAGAGTATGTGACACTTCTAGTAAA